CTAAAGTTCGACCGTGAATGTTCTTATTACTTGGTCCCTACTACGTAAATATGTAAATATGACAAGGTGGGTCGGGGCCTAGGAGGTATTTTTCATGCATGGATGGCAGTTTATTATTTGGGCCAATCCTCTGTCTCCTTGAGTTGTCTTTGTTTTTGTCAACTATGTTTAAGTCTCAAACTTTTGAGTGTTTGGTCTGACCTTTGTGCATCTTGTTATGCAGAGATTGGACGTGAACTCTTTATGGTTGTATCACATAGATGCGTTTTTAAGGACCAGTAAAATCTCTCTATCAAAAAAAAAAAAGAAATTTAAACACAACGAAAAAAATTTCTTCACAAAAATGTAGTACACGCTAACCAGGTTGTTTCAGACTTGAAGTCATATAAACTCATAATTGCCATTACGCAACGGACGTACATCTGCCACCTTAGCTTTCTTGTGTACTGGACATCATGAAGTGGATTGGCCTCTGCTTCCGACTCTTGACTCGGGATCAACTAATCAATTAAGTACTGGCTTGAACTAATATCGCAGTTAGGACTAAACTAATCAGACAACCTGATCTATACGCATAGCATTATCACGTGCACCATTGACTAATCAAGCAAAGAATGAAGGAAGTTCCAAACACTTCCATGGAAGACTCTCATGTGCTTCTGGCTTCTTTTGCAAGTTGTCATGTCATTTGATATATAAATTACGCCATATCACGAGTCGTTGAGTGAACTGTAATCAGATGATCTGATGACGTAAGGCAACCTTGACAGTTTAATTATTCAACAGCGTGCGGCATGAGTGTGATTAAAACCTTTTGTTGTTTCTCTCAAGAATTTTGCGTATCTTACTTACTACTCCCTCCGTCCCATAATATAAGAGAGTTTTTGACACTACACTAGTGTAAAAAACGCTCTTATATTGTAAGACGGAGGGAGTAATTTTCTCCTAGAAGCGTCACACATTTAACATTTTAATACTTTTTCATATCTCTTCAAAAAGAAGGGCAAAAAGGACTGCAATGTTACCGATGACTGCAATATTATGAAAAGAACACCTGTTGCCACCTTAGCTTTCTTGTGTACTTGGCATTGTGAAGTGGATTGCTCTCCTTTTCCATCTCTTGACTTGTGAGAAACAAATTAATTATGTACTACTATCTTGAACTGAATTGTAGTTATTTTATTATTATGACTAAAAGAATCAAATAACCTGATCCGTACACCCTAGCATTTTCAGGTGTAACATTGACTAATCAAGCAACGAAGAATGGCAAGTTCCAAACACTTTCGTGGAAGATTTCCATGTTGTACTTCTGGCTTCTTTTACAAGTTTTGAAGACATTTCGTATATAGATTACCCGATATGAAGTGGCCCATCGACATAGCACGAGTCATGGAGTGAACTGCAATCAGATGATTTGATGATGTAAGGCAGCCTTGACCATTTATTTACTCAAAATGTGCAGCATGCGTGTAATTTAAATATTTTTGTCGTTTATTTCTAGAACTTTGCATATCTTGCATACTATTTTTTGTTTATTTTATACTCCCTCCGTCCAAAAAAACTTGTCCCAAGCTTGTCCGCTTTTTCGGACGGAGGGAGTAAGTGTCACACATTTAATAATTTTTCAGATATCTCTTCTAAAAAGGGCAAAACGGATTGCACTATTATCAATGATGTATGTATCATTTAGTAGGGTGAAGTGTATCCTAGAAAAGAAACACTTGTTTCCCACATTTCTTCAAAAAGAGGACAAAAGTGATTGAATAATTTTGAAGGATGATGGTATTGGAAAAATAAATGGTAAATCAGAAATAATTCAGTGATGAATCTGGTATTGTTTCTGAGTCTTAAACCTGTTTCCATTTCTTTTTCAAATGACTCTATGTTTCCAAAAAAATTGGTTTGTACCTGATAAAACATACATGGACAATTTTGCATTGTTCTGTAAATAAATGTATTCCTCCAAGCAGGGTAATTGACAGGCAGGGCTAGTTATATTCATGGCAGGTGGATGTAAGTTTGCCTTTTGCCGTCTTGCGTCTTGACTCTTGGCCAGTCAGTACAGTAACAAGGATGAAAAAGCAAGCACTACTTATGGTAAATATCATGTGGAATGGGCGATATGCTGCAAATGTGAAAAAGTCAGGTGTGGAATTTACAGCAATTCTAAATGTATATGTATAAACGAGAGGGTATGTTATACTGTATATGACTAAGAAACTGCAATGTCAGTATTGATCTTATTTGCAAGATACATCCGCCAAGAGATTCACACTGGTTATCACAAACCTTGTTCATGGTATTAGAAAATTTGCCGGGCTATCGAACACATGATATGCTAAATCTACTATTTTTGGAGACTGAAATTCTCCCATGGTGAATTTGTAACATTAGCCCATTTTTCACCAAGTATGTGGCATGTGAATATACCATCGATGTTAGTTATCACATAGTGCAAGTTTGTCTTCTTCCTCTCATTTTGTACAATTATCTTTTAAGAATAAACTAAAAACTATATCAACATTGAAAAAGTTATTTTTAGGTTCCCTTCCTATCTTACCATTTATCACATCTTCTAGAAACTTCTTTTCCACAACTGACCACATTTGTTTGAAGTAGTCGATATGATAAACGCAGGTATAACGTCCTCTTAATAGTACTATTATACAGCTCTTTTATGGTACTCAACAATTAATGTGGACCATGTTGTCCGCTCATATTTTTCTATCAAGTATCCAAGTGGTGATCTCTAGCTTCACTATATATGTATAGCTTTAAGTATCAAACTGAAGTATGATCAAGGTTCTCTTAAACACCAGATCCGTCCAGCCATACCCCTCAGGTGATCAAGGTTCACCAGCAAGTTTGACTGGAATGAATCATGCATGGTTCTAGAGACATCGTTAGGCCTCACCAACCACTACTAATAGAATGCTTGCCAGGACAGGCAGTAGGACAGGTTAATGGAGATACGGACCAACCAACCTTAATTTGGCGCCTCTTGCGTCTGTTGGGCACAGACTAGATCTACATGCACTTGTGGACTTGCATGGACCAATCATTGATTGATAAGGTTTGGACAATGAGTTTGGTGATCAGTCAGAGCTGAAACAAAGGAATTGTGTCTATATTTTACCTAAAAAAAGGAACCGTTTGTTGCACATACTTTCCAACTGTGCGTTGCTAGTACAATTAATCACCTGAGTTGAATGAATCAAGTGCTATATTCTGGTTAGACTTGAGACTGCATTCGGTTTTGGGTTCAGGTTATCTTGGAAATTTTTTGGCCAATAACAGATCGGTGGACCCAGAATTCAATAGCCAGTCTAATACCTCAGTTGTAGAAGCCCGAGAAGAAAATAGTAGCACAGATGCATAGAGCTTCTTACATACTCCCTCTGTTAAATATAAGTCTTTTCAGAGATTCCAGTAAGGGACTACATACAGAGTAAAATGAGTGAATCTACACTCTAAAATATGTCTATATACATCCGTACGTAGTTTGCATTGAAATTTCTAAAAATACTTATATTTAGGAACGCAGGTAGTATTATCCTAACATATTTCCTCATTCAATTCTGGTTTGGCGTACAAACAGAATCATATGACCTACATTTTTAGTATCTGGCCTATTTTACCTTTTGGAATTTACATCTTCTATACATAGATTGCATCTGCTCGTAATCTCTCCTGCAATGGCAACCACAACGAAACGTCGAAAGCTAAGTGAGAAGGAAGATACAAGAAATATGCTGTGCTGCTGGAGCAAAGAGACATGAGTGCATGATGAATGTTCAGCTACCAATCGTGTTGCAGTATACATTTAAATATTTGTTCAGGGATATAAATTTTAATATTTTATAGTATTTTTTGAGAATTATTTTATAGTATTATTTGTGCTTGTACATGTAAGAAATAATCAGTTTCAATTAACTGAAGTGTATTTTAAGGCAACAGAATCTGGTTAATGGTTTGCGAAGAACAAATTTACCTTTCTATGATGCTCTGGAAGCTCCAACATACAGTGTCTGATGTTGCAGAAATATGCTGTACGATTTACAGTGAAGAGTGAAGACTACTACTCCAGTGCGAAATCGTTTAGCCATATAAGCACCTCGTTCCTCTTTGGATCATGGAAAACAAACAGAGTTTCAGTAATCAGGTTAACAAAGAAAAGAAGTGGTTCAGTCATGATTGAAAGTACAACTAAAAGATGGAGACATCTTCTCAGAAAGGTCAGCATTCAGGAAAGATGGATAAAGTATGCAATTTGCTACACTTGATCTCCTAATTGGTAGTGCAAAATTTCAACCTCAGCTTAACTTAAAAGGTACAGAGAAAAAGGAAACACACCTTCATAAAGTCCTTTGTGCTAGGATCATTGTAACGTGCAAGCAAACAGCCTTTTCGAGGCTTCAACCCATCTTTGAGTAGCTGGGAGCGTAGCTCCTTCTCTTTCTTGGCCACAATTTCCTCTTCTGGTCGCCCACTGAATTTTTTCACTGCAGCAATGCCTCCTTCAACCTTTCGCAAGGTAACCGCTTCTGTATTTGGAGCTGGTAAACTGATCGAACAAGATTATCTTTGGCAGTAGAAGTAAAACCATAGAAACTACTACAGAATTACTATTTCGTTTATCTATGAGCAGATGTCCAGGTCGTCAGTTTGAACACACATTGCACAAGATACCTGTTCAAGTCTTTGTTCATTGGCAGAGCTATCTGTATGGATACGTCTGAGAGTTTGTCATCAGAAGCCTGAGTGAAGACAGGTGTAGTCATTGCAATCTTTTCAGATGAAGCATTCTTGCCAAATATATACCTATAGGTACAGGCCCTTTCAGCATTACAATACATGGTGTTAAATATTTATAGTAATGGTTAAAAAAATAACTCACCCAGTAACATTGTTAAAACCTGATGATCCTGTTAGTTTTTCTCCTTTTGCTTCAGCTACTGAAAATGGTGGATACTTCCTGACCTGCAAAAAATATTCATACTCATAGTTTACCTCAACAAAATCTGTTAAGATGCAATATTTACAAATTAGCTGTCATACAAAGTCCTACTGCATGAGATCATATTAGCAAGATTGATAATCAACATAAGTCGCATAATATAACTTTTTTTTTGAAAGATCCAGCAATTGCTGGCATTTTCATTGATCATAGCAGAAAGCAGTGGGAAAACAACAATGGTGGTAAAGATCCTAGGATCAAGGTTTTAGGGTTTGCCACACACGGCCAAAACCCTAGATCAAGGGGGTTTATCTCTCACGGGGGGTCCCCGAAGGGGCTCTCTATGCATGCTGCTCCCGTGGATCTCCATAACTCGATGCTGTCCCTTATGCGCTTGATGATTCTCGCCACACACGGCAGGTGCTGCCTGAAGGTGCAGTGGTTTCTCTCCTGCCATATTTCCCAGCAAGCAAGCAAGCACAGCGTCCGCACTCCCTTTCGCCATTGGTGGGGGGTCTGCTCCAGGATGCTTTGCACGATCGTGATGGTACTGTCATGGCGCCAGCTCTCAGCCGGGCCGCCGGGGTGAGAGCGGAACAGCCGTGCCACTGCCCCAGCTCGGTCCAAACCCGTCCGGATACCTGGCAGCTCCAAAAGAGGTGGCGCGATGACTCCAGGCTTCTGACGGCTGACGCAGAGTTGGCAGAAGTAAGCATTTGTCCAGCCTCGCCGCTGCAGTCTGTCGTTGCACCAGAGCCGATCCTGAAGAAGCAGCCAGGCGAAGATTTTGATTTTGCCGGGCGCCCAAGCCTTCCATAGCAGACGGTCGTACTGAGTCGTCGTTCTTCCCTGAAACTGCACCAGGTAGGCCGACTTCGCCGTGTATTTTCCTGAGCTCGCTCTGCTCCAGATGAGGCCGTCCGGCACGCCTGGCTGCAGCTGCGCCTCCGCCCCCTGAAGCACGCGGTGAAGGGCGAGGACATCCGCCAGAAGATGGTGGTTGTTGCCGCGGGCGAGGTCGCGGATCCAAGTGTCGTCGCAGAGGGCCACCCGCACCGATCTGTTCTTGCGCCGTGAGTAGCTGAAAAGCCTTGGGAATTGTTGCCAGAGGCTCCCTGGCCGATCCATGGCGAGAGCCAGAAGGAGGCCCGAGCCCCGTCGCCGATCGCCACGTTGGTGGAGGCCGCGAAAAGTGCCTTGTCCGCATCGTCGCAAGGCAATTCAGTGCCCACCCAAGGCCGCTCCGGGTGGTGCCAGGCTATCCAGAGCCAGCGCAGCCGGAGCACTCTGCCAAAACGCTGCAGGTCGGGGATGCCCAGGCCTCCTTGCTCCGTCGGGGCGCAGACCGCCGGCCAGTTGACCTTGCAGCTGGCGCCCGAAATCTCATCATCCTGGCGCCAGAGGAAGCGTCGCCTGCTGTAAGGGCATATTTATCCCTACGGTGTTTTGGTGATTGATGACAATGCATTTGCGGACTAATCGGGTGCTTTGAGTTCTTTCAGATATTCATCTTTCGGCACGAAACGATTATTTCCCCTCGGCGCTCTACTCAAGACGGTGTAGCTTCTTTCGTGACATTGTTGGACTAAGTTTCGTAGTAGTCACCGTACTATCAAGAGGGGATCTTCTTCGATATGGTTTGGGTGGGATCAACACGTACACGTCCTTCTCACACCCACCGTTTCTTTCCGCCTCTCTGGAGCTTCTCTTTTCTCCCCTGTGTGTCTTTTCCTGGACCCAGCGGTAGTATCGCGGGCCACAGCGGTAGTACAGCTGAGGCTCACTAAGCGGCAGTACCGCTCCTCGGAGCGGTAGTACCGCTTGATGGCCTCAGCTGCAGTACCGCTGCGGCTCCGTGCTCCTACCGCCTCGACCCTAGTGTGCTCTTTCTCGTGTCTGGGCTTTACGGCACTAGCTGCAGTATAGCGGTAGTACGGCTGAAGCTCAGTAAGCGGTAGTACCGCTCCTCGGAGCGGTAGTACCGCTTGATGGCCTCAGCCGCAGTACCGCTGCGGCTCCGTGCTCCTACCGCCTCGACTCGAGTGCGCATTTTCTCGTGTCGGGTTTTACGGTACTAGCTGCGGTAGTAGTGGCGGTAGTGCTGCTTGTGAGCGGTAGTACTGCCCTGCCTCCGTGGTAGTACCGCTCTGGGTCCCAGCCCCAGCCCCTTCTCTTCTAGCGCGGCAGTACCGCTGAGGGGGAGCGGCAGTACCGCTTATGAGCGGTAGTACCACCCTGCCCCCGCGGCAGTACCGCTCTCTGCGGGGCTGAGTGGGGGGTAACGGTTGGATTGTTCCCCCCACTATAAAAGGGTGTCTTCTTCCCCCCTTTGACTTACCTCTTCCCCCAAGCTTCATTATTGCCCAAGCACCATTTATTGCTCAAGCTCCATTAAATACTCCAAGCCTCCTTTTGCCCGATCTATCTCCCTAGCCAATCAAACTTATTGATTTGCTCGGGAGTGGTTGAGAAGGCTCCGATCTACACTTCCACCAAGGGATTTTTGATTCCCCCACTCATCCTTAGCGGATCTTGTTACTCTTGGGTGTTTGAGCACCCTAGACGGTTGAGGTCACCTCGGAGCCATATTCCATTGTGGTGAAGCTTCGTGGTCTTGTTGGGAGCCTCCAATTAAGTTGTGGAGTTTGCCCCAACCTTGTTTGTAAAGGTTCGGTCGCCGCCTTCAAGGGCACCAATAGTGGAATCACGGCATCTCGCATTGTGTGAGGGCGTGAGGAGAATACGGTGGCCCTAGTGGCTTCTTGGGGAGCATTGTGCCTCCACACCGCTTCAACGGAGACGTACTTCCCCTCAAAAGGAAGGAACTTCGGTAACACATCCTCGTCTTCACCGGATCCACTCTTGGTTATCTCTTACCTTTACTTGTGCAAGCTCTTTAGTGTTTGTTCCCTTGCTTGCTTGTGTGTTTGTTGTTGTTGCATCATATAGGTTGTTCACCTAGTTGCACATCTAGACAACCTACTTTGATGCAAAGGTTAATTTGGTAAAGAAAAGCTAAAAATTGGTAGTTGCCTATTCACCCCCCCTCTAGTCAACCATATCGATCCTTTCAATTGGTATCAGAGCCTCATCTCTTTATTAAGGACTTTACCGTCCAAAGAGTATGGTTCATACCGTAGACGGTGTGGAGGAACACTCTGGTGTGAATCCGATCTTGTCTACGGGCGATGGGGGAACTTCGGTCTCTTGTGAGGAGTTCAATGTAGCCTTAGAGACATTGAAAACCTCCATGACGACCGAAGTTGAAAACATGTTTACTAAATTTCTTGAGGGGCTTAAACTATCCACCGCACCGTTGAAAGTGGGGGATTCCACCAACAAGGTGTCGGATGCTATCCCCGACAAGGGGGAAGCTAGTAGTGAAAAGGCTCCCTCTTCTAGTGGCAAGAATGGCACCGGCATCTTGCCCATGTGGAACCACCACTTGTGTATGGTGGACCGGTTCCTTCTACTCATTTGAATCATGCCGGTCCTCCTCCTAAGATTGTGAAAAATGAGGATTTTGATTCTTGGGTTTACCGCTTTAAACGTCATTTAAATCATGTGAACACTAACCTTTGGAGAATCATTGAAGAAGGTTTCTATCCACATGATCCAAGCAACTTCACTCCTCGAGAAGCCGCGGACAATCAATTCAATGAGAATGCTCTCTTCATCATTCAAGATGCAATTCCACCCGAAGACCTACCTCATCTTCGTCCCTTCGCCTTGGCCAAAGATGCATGGCATTGTGTCGTGTCTCTCTACCGGGGAAGCGCAAGCATTCAACGCTCCAACTATGAAGTGGTACAAGATGAGGCCGATGAGTTTGCAATGAAGGAAGATGAAGAACCTCGTGAGCTTTATCGGAGAGTCACCAAACTCGTGGTCTCACTACGAGATCACGGGAGCAAGGACACGGATGACAATTGGATCAAGCGCAAATTCCTCAAGGCAATGATGCCCTACCACAAGGCCATGTCCTCCGTCATCCGCCAAAGACCGGACTTCCACACTTTGACCTCAAGCGAGGTGTTGGATGAGTTTGTGGCCATGAACATTTTGGACAAGACCGCCGACAATGCGGTGCTCCGTTCTCAACGGGCAAAGAAGCCTAACCTTGCTTTGAAGGCCAAGCTCACCGTGGAAGAAGAAGAAGAGGAAGAGGAGGAGAGCAACCCCGAAGATACAAAGTATGCATATCATGAACACATGGCACTTGCTTCAAGGCAATTTTGGAGCAAGAAAAACTCGAGGCCCAACTTTAGCAAAAACACCTCGAGTGGCACGAGGGGCAAGCAACGTGTAAGGACTTGCTACAATTGCGGCAACGTGAGTCATTTCGTTGCGGAATGCCCGTATGAGAAGAGGGAAGACAATGGTGGCAAACTCATCCGAAAGGACAAGGCCAAGTCGTTCCCCAACAAGAACAACTTCATCAAGAAGACTCCTCCCAAGGCCTTGGTTGTGCAAGAAGAGTACAATGAGGATGATGACGATGATGAAGATGATGAGTCGGTTGCCATGGCCTCCGACGCCATTGCCACAACATCACGAGTGTCTCTCTTCGACTCACCTAACGAGAGCATCAACGCCAAGTGCCTCATGGCGAAAGCCACCAACAAGGTAACCTCCAACATCAAAACTACCATCATTAATCATCTTTCCCCATCGGAGAGCATTAATGAAGTTGAGGGAGCTAATGTGGAGGCTAACGAGTTTGAGGCCTTTATGGGCAAACTCAAGGGAAAATCCAAGAAGCACTTTGTTGCTCTCTTGGAACAACTTGGTGAGGCCAATGACATGATCGAGGCTCACGAAGACACCATCTCAAAGATGGAAGGGCATAGTCGTGACTATGCCGATGAGATTTCGGATCTTTCCAATGCTCTTAAGGAAGAGCGTGGTCTTCGTTTGGCTCTTGAGGAGTCATACAACGTTGATCATGCTAAGTTAGAGAAAGATTATGATCATGCCCTCGTTGTTTCTCGTGTGCTAAATTCCGAGAAGGCCAAACTCGGAG